GGTTTTGACGGTGCGGTTTTGTCACCTCGCTTTAGTCACACGCGCTTTAGTCTACCGCGGTTTTGTGGTGGAACCCTTTAAGCCTGGGTTTAGAATTTTTTCTGAAGCATGCTACAACCGTGTTTAATGATAGTTCCCCTCAAATGGTAAGGATAGCATCCCTTCCTGCCCTTGTTACTGAGGCAAAGTAGGACAAAATCACAATTTATGCCAGCTAGTTTTTTTCTTCTGATTCAAGGATGGAAAAACTACACGTCAATGTAATCATGAAAAAGAGGTTTATGTGTGATGATATTGACACTCCAATATTTCTCCAATAGGGAAACAAAGAAGGGGTTAACACTTTAATCTAACTCCACTGAATTATTTGGTGATTACCCCCCACCCCTTCTAGACATTCATTTATATGTTACATTAGAAGTGTTCAGATTCCTGAGCATATCCAGGAATTCTCTTTCTTTTTTTCCCAGTCATCAGAGTAGTAATATTTTTTCCCAGGCTTCTGCAGCCAGAGAGGCAGCCAAAGCAGCTACACAGTCCTGGAAAAATACATAGCTTTTGATTTAGGAAAAGGAAGTGCTCCTGGGTGATTTGAAGCATTCCCTTCAAAGGAATGGCAGACTCTTGTTTCTCCAGTATTATATTAAACATTGTGCCATTTGCTTGAAAATTTGGGTTACACTATTGTTATTTATAATATATGTAAATTGACACTTTTAGTTCTTTCTCCTATCCAATTTAATTTAAAAAGTTACTTCTGAATGTGCCTGTGTGTGTGAAAACCTTGGGTGCCAGAGAGCTTTAGGCTTAGCAAGTTTGACACAAGGTTTAATCAATGCTCCACATGCGTCCATATTAGGTGTGCTCAATTTAAAATCAACTCTGTTTGCAGGTCCTTATCACTATAACACATTGTCCAGTTTTTAAAATTGTATCAGTTCATATCTAAAGCTGAAAGTTACAAGAAACAAAGACATTGAGAGAACCAGAAAAATAAGATATTGCATGGATCTTTAATGTAACAAATGGTTTATTATCAATCTCTGAAGGGCACAAAAGTTTGTATCTGAAGAAAGAAAACATTTAGAAAATTGGCAGGGTAAAACAGAATCAATCGTGCCTCCTAAGCAGCTCTGGGACATTAAGAACATGCAATTAAATGCATTCGTGACCAGGAAATTGAGTGTTTCATTTGACTGATCAGAGGCTGCTCACTGAAGGAGATCAAGTTTACCTTTCAGTAAAGCTTGGAATGTGAGTGCTATTCCCCCTTCCATGAGAATAAGTCCCTTTGAACTACATAAGGTTTCACATTGAGTAAATGTGTCTGGCATGACACTGCATATCTCTGTTTAGCAGAACGGTAGATTTCAGAGAAACCATAGCAGCCAATACCACATAGTGTATTTTAAATGCAGAACTGGTATAAAAATTTCCTGCAGAAGCAAATCATGTCCACAGTATTTCAAAATTGCCTTTTACTATAGAAAAAAAAGGAGACAGAGGTAGACTTGTAGATCCTTCATTGTGACACAATGTAATCATTGGATGATGTTTGCCACTGTTTTAGCCACATTGGAAATCTGAGCCCTCAGATGTCTAAAAGGAAGGGAAGAATAGACTCTAGCTGAAATAAGCTTAATATATCCATATGTACCGTAGATACATATAGAATGCAGATACAGTGAAAAATCACAGGTGTTCATAAGTAAGCTTGCAATTCTTGTTCAGTATCATTTTTCACACTATCTGAAGAGCAAAGTGAATAAGCAAGGTCTATTTGGTCTTTTAACTCTTTTGTCTAGAACTGTGTTTCTTAAAATGTGATCCCAGGGCCTAACCTAAGGGTTCCCCAAGATCCCCTTGGGGATTCCCAAAATGAAAATTCTTTGCTAGCCTAGGTTGGAAAACACTTCATTAAAATCCCATCAAACAATTATGAGAAGTGGTAGCCTCAGCAAACATATTAATTTTTAATACAGTAAATATAAATGAATATACGGTAATGTATAAAACAAAAGCTGTTTTGCAGTCATCCATAATTTTTTTAAGAGGCAAGAGTTTCTGAGAGAAAGTTTAAGAAAAAATGGATCTGTGACAAAGTGGATGCTTTGCTTAAAGTTTCTAATTGTGTTCCCAGTGACTTTAAAATTCTACAGGGTCAGCAGTAAATAAAATATATTGAAAAAATTAAAGCAGGGGCATAGCATTAAAAAAGCTCAACTTTTTCAAGACTTTCCAGGATCTTGATTAATCTTGTTAGATAATTTTGACTGATCCAATACTGAATGTATAGTTTAGCTGTGTTTAAATCAGACGTAGGACCTCACACTGCTGCCAACCCAGACTGCAACTATTAGTATAGTTTTGTGCCACACAACTGTTGAAGCCCTAAACTGGGCTTAACACAGTAACAGAGAATCCCCCCCCCCAACTCCCCACAAACAGCCCAGGTTATTTTGTATTATCACCTTTTCTAGAGTCCACCCATCAAGTTTCCCCCACCGCCCAGATTTAAGAGGGGAAATATTAACATGGAAGGGACTGCCATTTCCCCTATGGCTTGATAAATACACCTTGTTCTCACTGGCATGTTTGCGGTTTCCTCAATGGTTTCATTGTCCTGTGATTAAATTACACTAAGAAACCTTTCCAACTATCTTTTTATAAGTCAATGAGCAGGGTATACAGAACTCATTCAGTTTTAATGTGGTTAGAAGCCAGGGCAATCACAGAAAGGAGATAAAGGTTTTTCACTGTATGCCTCTTTTTAACTGCAGCTTATTCCAGTCTCTTTCAAAGTTCTTCGTCCAGTCTTTTTGAAGCAATGTTAAGCAATTCAGTTATCCTGCACTGACTAGAGCAGAAGTTGGACATATAATTAGATTTGATTAACAGATACCAAATAATACTGCTTCTCTAAATCAAATTATGAAACAAAAAAAAAGCCAGCATTGTAACTAGCTTTTAAAAAGAGGTTCAAATAATTTTAACTAGTCTCCCAAATGCAAGTTAGTAACCTTTTCGTAGCCACTTCTTTTTCAAACGTTATAGCAGCTTCCTGACATGTTTACAACAGTATATAATGCAAACAATGCAATGCATTGCAATCTGCACCTCCAGTTTTTTTATTACTATTATCCCTGTCTTAGCTTATATAGTATACTATATTCATAATGATAAACACTGATTTTCTTGTTGTAGCTATTTCATCTTATGATTCCATTGAATTTTGTTATTTTCCCAAGAGAAGAAAAACCCAGAAGTGGATATATTTAAGATAAGGGTGTTAGACCTGTGTGGTCTTTCAGGTGAGATTACAGAAAGTGCATCGAAGCACACAGGAGCCCTTAAAGCAAAGGTATATTTTCCTAGGACCTGCAGACACCTTCTTTCAGTTGTAGGAACCCCCCTCTCAAAATAGACCTTCTGGTCCCCAGCCTCAGAGATGCCACCAGATTCAATTTATAGCCATTGAAATATCCTAAATGAAGCAAACAAATCCTGTTGAGTGTACGGTCACTGACAAGATTATTAGGAATAGAACTTTAATGTTTTTTTTAAATCCGGTTACCCAATTAGAGAAAGCTCTGCCCTAATTGTTAGCAGAACATTAAAGATCTGATTATCAAAAAACTAGAATGTACAAGAATTAGATCCATTGTTTTATTTGTAGTTTGATTTAAAATTATAGCATAATCACATAATGAAGTCAAACATGTACTCAATACAAAAGGAATGCATACATCCCTCCCCCCACCCCCATGTTTTATTATGTAGGTACCTGACAATGCAATGGATGTGTACAGACTCTGGGTAAATGACTAAATCAAAGAGACAAGTGTGCATTTAAAAAGCCATGATCACGCATACTAACTGAACAAGACTATGGGTGTGGTTCTGCCTACAAGACTTTCCATTATTTATTTCTGAAAAGCCAAACATTTGAATAACATTTTAGTACCAGCTTTAGTTCAAATTACTGTACAGAACATTTAGCATAGAAATAATTTGTGCAAAAATATCAGTTTCAATCGTTAAAAGATACACACTTTAAGGATTAATATTTCAGGATTTAAACATTGTGTATTTTCACTCAACATAAAATTATTTGCCCAAAGATGTTTCATTGAAAGGATCAAATAAACACTAATTGCACCAAAACTGACATTTAGAAATTACCCCCAGAAACTTTTAGGAGGAGGCTACCATAAGAAAAACTATTCAAGTTTAATTATGTAAGTTGATTCCTTATTTCCTTATTACTTATTTTATATTAGCTATTAGCAAATATTCTTATAATAGATTTTATATATCTTATTCTGCTGGTGCATTTGGTTCACTTACAGCTTTAATAACATTGAAAAAATACAGTAAATGTTTTCCAATTGGTTTTAAATTATGCAAACTTCAATTTTGAACCTTTATAACAGATTTTTTTTTAAATCAATGGAATAATTAGAAAATTCCAAAGTGAAATTTTGAATGGAATTACTTCTGCTGGATATCCTTGGATCTTAAATGGAGAAAAAAAAACATTCGGTGCTTTTTTTTTCATTTTTTTACTGGTTTTATAAGCTTAGAGGATGAGCGTCATTTTCAAATTAAGCTTATTTTGTGTAGCTTTATCAACTCTTTCCTCTCTGAAGGCATGATCCATGGTTTGTCAAGTTGTATTTCTCTTACATTAGGAGTTCAAGGTGTGGAATATTGGAGTCCATAGGTTGCTTTGTGAATCAAATTATTTTTGAAGGAAGATTGATTCAATTCATCAGGTATACTTATCAAGAGTCTTGGTCAATTTGGTAACTGTGATTTAACTGTTGCTTAAACTGTACTGGCTGGATACAAGTATTTTATGTTGTTGTTTTTTTATAATTCTCAGAATACGAAGGTCTCACCATCTTAGATGAATTAGGAAACTTGGTAGGGAAGGATGTTGTTTTCCCAGACCAGATGCTTTAACAAAAGTACAGAAGAGAGACCGAGAGTATGAAGAGGCCAGTAGTTGACTGAAGATTATTTCCATGTCCTTTGGTGGTGTTTGTGCTAAGTGACACAGCAGTCACAGCTGAATTATTGCCCGGAGCATCAGTACTTGTTTTATTTTCTCCTCCCTAAATAGGTAAAAGAAGAAAAAAAATAGGATTGTAAAATCAATCAGTACATTTTGCATTCTGACTTCCATGGCTTATAATGTATTGGTCTATGTTATTACATTAGTCTACATAGAGTGATTGTGAAGATAGTGTTTGTTTGTTTTTAATTTCACCATGAAATACACATTCATATACAGTTTCACTGCCCTTTCTAAAAAGTAACTTTAAAGAGCATAATTGCATATTCAGAAATAAGTCCCAAGGTAAGCAAGGATTGCAATAATATACCATATTTTTCAGAGTAAAAGATGCACCTTTTTCCCTCAAAAAAGAAGCTGAAAATCTGGGTGTGTCTTATACACCGAATGCAGCACTTTTTGCTTCCCGAAACCCTGCCCCCTTCACCAAAATGGGCCTTTAGGAGGTTTATAGAGTGTTCCTGGGGGCTGGAGAGGGCAGAAATGAGTGAAACATGGGCCAGTTTTCGCAAAAAATGCTCATTTTTGCCCCCTCGAACCCTCTACAAAGCTCCTAAAGGCTGTTCATGCCTTTGGGGGGGGGGACCAGGCCCGCTTCCACAAAAAATGGGCTGTTTTGGGGAGGTCTGCAGAGTGCAAAAACTTTTTTTTTATTTGCCTCTTCAAAATCTTGGTGCGTCCTATACTCCGGTGCATCTTATACTCCAAAAATACGTTATAAGTTAATTGTATGTAATATGCTAAGCAAACAATATAAAATGTTTATGTTGCGATATATCAATGATGAGGCAAATAGTCAATAAGGAAAGAACTCCATGACAGCTAGAATGAGAATCCACAGTCCAACTTTTTCTATATCCCCTACCAATAATGACACTGAGAACTTGGAAATAATACTCTGACACAGTGGTGGGTTTCAAAATGTTTTAGAACCTCTTCTGTAAGTGTGGCCTGCTTTGTGGAAGTGGTTTGCTGGCCATGTCACTGGGTGGGAGTGGCTTGCCAGCCGTGTGACTGGGTGGGTGTGGCCAACTTGTAAAATGTGGTGAAACTCACTTAACAACGCTCTTGCTTAGCAACCAAAATGTTGGCTCAGAAACTCTGGTATTTGAAGCACGCAAGTCTTAAAGCTGTCAAGTTACAAGACCCTTGCACCCCTAACCCTTTAGAAAAAAAATCCCAGGGGTGTTCAAACTTGACAGCTTTAAGACTTGTGGACTTCAACTCCCAGAATTCCTCCTCTCGCTCTTCATCTTGATGATGTGCAGACGGGCAGGGCGAGGGAGCTGGAACCGGTCCTAAACGGCACTGTAGATTTGTGGAACCTCTTCTATAGAAGAGGTTAGAACTGGCAGGAACCCACCCCTGCTCTTACATCAACATACTAATCACTAATCCCCCCAATACTTCCTCATCTATCAAATCACAATTTCTCTGAAATGTATTTTTTCTTTTTTAACTTTGTCAGATTTTACTGAGACCAGGTCAAAAAGTTAGCAATCAGAAAATGAAAATGCTATTAGAGGTAATCTTAGATAGAAGAATTGATAGTGTGTCATTCTTGCTCCAGTTGAGTTTACAAAGAAGTCTACCACTAGATTCAAATACAACATGCTTGTTTGATTTTGGCTTACATGATATGAAAAACCTTATTTCCAGCTTATTTAACATTTCTGATTAACCAATCACATTAACAATGCTGGATATTATTGATACTTTAGGAAAGTGGAAGATTTTAATGGTGAAAAGTTTGAAACAGGGTAATTAAATAGCTACAAGACCAGGAATAAAATTGCACAAGAAATCAATTTATTTTTTTGTTCTGGTTATTGCATGCCATAGCAGGCAGATGAAATGTGTCTTAGGAATTTAAATTACTTGAAATGATTTTCATGGCACAGGTATTATTTCTTTTGTTTTGGTTACTATGTAGTCAACAAGACTTTTAGAAACCTGACAACAACATAAAATCTGGCTCAAAGAATGACATGAATGGGATAAGCGCATACCACACTTTCAGATCTGCTATTAGATCTGAGCGCATGCATTGTCTGTCTCCAGCCGTTTAGCACTAATGTTTATTTCAAGAATTTTTAAAAAGTTGCATAGAATTAGAAAAGCAGGAGTATGCTGACTGAGCTAAAACACCCTTTTAAACCAAGTTGGATTATGGCTCAACTTGCTTTGTGATCCCAAGTATTACAGTTTACGGCTAAATTTGTAGCCTGAACCTAGTCAACTGTGGTTTATTCAATAAGCCATGGAACACAGGTTTGTGAAATTTGTGAATCAGGTCACAAAAATACCAATGTCTTCTGTACTACAACGCCAATCTGATATGGTGGTTTTATAACAGGTTTGAAACTAGAAGAATATGAATTCCAGTCATCCCTACCAGGCAGATGAGGGTAGGAAATCACCTCCACAGGAAGGCTAAAACTACTTTTATTGAGATTGACTAAATAAGAGAAACTTGCGACTCTAACTGTGGTATCTTCTCCATGTAGATCAGTGTACTAGAGACCCACTTCTGAATATTATCTGGATATATTGGATTTTACACCCTGTCAACAGAACTTGCATATCTCAATCAAGGACGGCTTCCTTACTCACTACAGTTCTAGTCCAGCTTTAGGCATGAAGCAGTTGGATGACTTGGGTCAATCCCTCTCAAATCATAGGAAGAAGGAAAGGACAATCCCCACCCCCTTCAAATGTTGGCATAAAAATTGTATGGACCTGTCCTGGCACTCACTAGGAGTGAAGATTGTCCCAGTCTATGGGAGGATAGACCAAGTTGACGTGCATAAGCGCACCAGAGTGTCTACCATCCCTGTCCTACTGTCCCCATTTATATGTACTCATTTTATGTGTTTATGGCTGTTTTGCTTACATATTCATTTATTTATGCCATTTTTTCATTTGTCCATGTCTATACTGATACTTGTTTCCTTATACTTGTTGACAAAATAAATAAATAAAATAAAAGTAAATAAAGTTATGTCATGCTAATGATGTCAGACTTCATGACCTGTAGGAAGAATATCTGGCACATCTGGCAGCTGAGAAAGTGTTGGAAAGCAGGACAGATTTTTTTGGACTATTTATTTCAATTAACAGTAATAGATGAAAAGTTGTCATATGGAGATTGCAAACGCACCATAATATTCCCCAAATAACATGTTAATATATCAAGTCAATTTCACCCCATCCATTTCAAGTGGAGATATGTTTCAAAATTTATACTCAATAAGCATTGACCCAAGTCCAGTCAAGTTTAAGAGGCAGCATTCATATCTGCTCATATACTATCCACATTAAAATTTTAAATTCAGAAATTCTACACACAAAAATATTTTTCCTTAATAAATGGAATTCCAACTTGTAAAGTGCACTTAGAGGCTTGCCACCTAATTCTCTACTGTATATTCTGGTTGTTTAGGGTAAGTTCTCATGTTGCATTTCACACTTACAGAGCAACACCACCATGTACAGCTAACATATGTTTTAGTTAGCTGTGAAGTTGAAGTCAGGAGGCTGGGAAGATATACGGCACATAGAAAGCATTATATTCAAGGAAATCATTTTGTTACATACTGCAAAGGAAATTCTCTGTTGTTAAGTTGTTTTTTCTACTAGACCCTTACAATAACAAGTTCACTGCCACAAAAAGCTGCAAGATTATCTAACAACTAAAAAGGAAACCCTATAGATATATAATCAAACTTTTCATGCCCTTCCAATCCCTTCTCAAAATGTTTCTCCAAAGTCCCTTTTAAGTATTCATTTCTGCTAAATATTCATTCCGGTTTTAGTCTTTGCTATGCAAACACTTTCGCGTGCCTTCAACTGTCTGCTAAGCTGATATAAGGTAACAAGACTGCAATGCAAGTCCTCATTTTTTTGAAACTGGCTACATAAAATATTAACCTGCAAAGCTTTTATTGTTCTAACATTGAGCCAAATGTTACATCTCATCCAGAAATTCCAATGGAAAAGGAGTCTATGGAAGTCCCGACTTGTGATTTTTTAAAATTTCTCCAAAGATTTACATAATAATGAAAGGCATGATAAAGCATATACTGTATATATCTAGAAAGTTAATACTTGAAAGCTTATTTAATAAAAATAGGAGATTCTTAAACTATCTGCTGTACTAAAATTCATAAGAGGGAGTCTCTGCTTCTATAGCAGTATCCAGCAGTAAGGAAAAAATAGGGCTATGCAGAAGTCTGAATTCTAAAAGCAAAATAGGATTTGGAATGTGTGTGTATGTATGTATGTATGTGTGTGTGTGTGTGTATGTATGTATGTATACATACACACACACACACACATACACACACACACACACATATACATACATTCAACATCACAAGCCAAAGTGAATTTCTAAAAAGTGTTAGAGAGGACAGTAACAGAAGACACAGCTCCTCTTCCATAGATCCCTTACATACCCACACACCTCCAAATTACATTTAGCCCTTCCATCTGGATCTCCACACAACTCAAGTACAGTACACAAAATTATACACTGAGAATAGAATGTAAAATCCACAAAGAAATCGGACAGCGAAATAGTGAGATCTCTCAGCAAATGCTCATCAACGCAGCAAGAAAATCTAACATGGGGAGGAGGGGGCAACAAACATAGCATGCAGGTTTTGTTACATTCCAACTCAGTTACTCTAGCCACTATGTACTGAGTTCAGCAACACTAGATGGTCTTGTCCTACTCTAGCAATAGCACTTAGACTTATATACGCTTCACAGTGCTTTACAGACCCCTCTAAGCAGTTTACAGAGTCAGCGTATTGCCCCCAACAATCTATTTCCTCATTTTACCCATCTCCCAAGCTGCTAGTCTTTTAGGAAAAGAGAAATGGCAGACTTGCCAGGTAACTGCATTTTCCTACTTTCAGGTTTCCACAGAACATAGCTTTCATATCACACTGATGATGGTTAACAATGGAGTTAGTTTAAAAAGCCACTCTAGACAGCTTTTGCAAAACTGTTAAAAACTGCTTCAGGAGGTAGCTTTTCAGATACTTTATTCCAATTCAATTGCAGTTTAACCAACAGACAAATTTTATTTTATCCAAAACTACACAAGAAGTCTAGTTTTATTCCCTCAATGGCTTAGCATATGGGTACTTGCCTTCACCAGCCTGAAGTGGTTGGGATTACAAATATTCAGGCGGGAATTCCTAATGATTTAACTTAGTCATAATTCAATGGGATTTTTATTTTTATTTATATAGAATTGCAAAAGGAAGTCTTACTAAAGGGGAAGGGGTGGTCAAGTTTTCTTTTTTTTAAAAAAAATGCAAAAGAATTTACTTTCCGTAAAAAAAATAATGATCAGAAGTGGGGAAGAAAGCTCAATCCTTCCTACGAAATTGGGAAAAGAAGGTTGGAATTGCAAATCTGGAAAACTAAGTTAGAGAATGGAATTCCAGGATTCATCCACACATCCCATTAAATCGTGCTTAAATTCAGTTTACTGAATGAACCACAGCTGGCTAAGTTTACCCAACTGGCTACGCCCCAACCAACCATGCCACACTTAAAGGTTCAGAGAGATCTGGAAACTTAAAAAAAAAAAACTTTGTCGGTATCATTCCCCCCTCCTCGCCCGAGCGCCCCCCCCCCCCCGCTCAAAATTGCAACTTCAGGAATGCAACTTCGCGCGCGGCTGGAAAGCAAAACCCGGGTAGGATCCCCTTAGGAGGATGGGGGCAACGGTTATTAGAATTAATGTCCTCTGATTCACTCCCCCCCCCTACACCTATTCCCGCGGCGAGGTGGGGAGGTGTCCCGCTGCTGAGTTATGGAGAGAAGCGAACCCGCGGCGGCCTCGTGGTCGTTCGCTCGGGCGCTAACCTGAGAGGGTGAAAGCAACGCCAGGAGAAAAAGCCCGAAGACCAGCCGCCAAGCCAGCGCCCTGCCCATGTCTGCTCGTGCCAGGAGCGCTGCTCGTCGCGTCCCGCAAGTACTACTCCTGAGGTGGAGAGGCGGCGGGCGGCTTTTATGCCCGCGCCAAGCGGCGGGGAGGAGGGGGCGGGTCCAGGGCCTCCTCGCCCCCGCCTCCTTTTTTTCTTGTTCTGTTTTTGGGACGCCCACCCCCCACTCCCTCCTCCTCTGACTCCCTTTTGCAGTTCAGGAACGCGCCTTTCCCTACTGGCCGAAGGAAATAAAAACACCAGCGTGGCTAAACGGGGAAGGAACGAGGTAGGAAAGGAACGCTGGAGCGGGGATGCTCCTGGGTTCTTTAATTTCAATACAAAAGCTGCCGGACTTCCCACTTTCTTACCGACTTGATTCTAGCAAGAGAAGGGGGAGGGGGGGCTGCCCATTCTCCGGAATACTGTTTTGATAGTCATATCTCTCACCTTCTTTCTCCTTCTCCTAGAACAGTGGTTCCCAACCTTGGCAACTTTAAGACTTGTGGACTTCAACTCCCAGAATTCTCCAGCCAGCAGCTGCTGGCTGGAGAATTCTGGG